CCAGCCATTTAAAACATATCCACAATTATGCTAATAATACAGTAGCCTTTGTGTAAATCCATTTTTCAGTGGTGAGAAACAATATGCATGCAAATAATTTTCAAAACTGCTATACATAATTATTTGGAGGACATGTAGGAACAATTAAACTATTCTTAATCTATAACATAACCAAAGATAATTACACTTAAAAATAAGTTATATTTTAAGTAGGCTGCATCTGAGCACAGAGGTTTCATTTTAGAGATGCAATCCTAAATTCTAAACTAATGAGGAAGTGTTCTGGTCCTTGACCGAGCCCCACATGGGAGGACACTAATTTAGTTTTAGTTTTACACATTTAAAATGTTCATAATGTGTTTTGTGTGTGTTTGTTCACACACAATGTTCAAAATGTGCTTTCATGGGTTTTTATATATATATAGGCCTATATATTTTTTTTTTTCTTCTTCTTCTTCTTTTGACAAATTAAGCTTTGGCAAGCCTATAGTTTTTTACATTTTTAAATGAATTTTTTATTTTTTCTTCTTCTCTAGGTTTAAGGACAAGACGGTGTCCGCATCATTACAAAAGACAGTAAGTCACACTGACACAAATTATCATTAAATGGATAGTTCACCGAAAAATCATTTACTCACCCTCAAGTTGTTTTAACCCTGAATGAGTTTCTTTCTTCTGCTGAACACAAAAGAAGGCGAGTAAATTATGACAAAATTTGCTTTTTTGTGTGAACTATCCCTTTAATACAATTCAGTTTCTGTTTAACATCTCAATTTGTCATTTTCAGACCTCAACCCAGACCAGCTGGCCATGCGAAACTGCCCAACAACCACTTCCAGCTCCAGTAAAGAAGCAAGAAAGTTTACATTGGTTCTGTTTTCTTCTCAATAAGTGTAAAAGCGGTTTCGTCCTTTATCATTATTCAGTCTGTTGAACATTATATCTTAATCTTTAAAAATGAAAATGTTCGAATCGTTCAGGATTTCTGTTTCATTCGTTGAATTTAGATGATTTTTATAGTTATGTCTTTGTATTACTGCACTGACAATAATCACATCTTTTCTTTATGTGGTTTTTGATAGTCTTAATCTGTTCCTGGTGAAATGTTTTATGTTTTGCTTCTTATTATTTGGGGCTTATTATGGCTTAAATTGTTGCATTTGTAGCAAGTGTGGCTTTAAAGTGCAAAGTTGTATATAATTGTAACCTGTTTGAAAGAGATTCCTGCCATCTGCTGGCTGTAAGTGATATGAACCTCAGATAGTGACATGAAGAATTTGAGCATAATTAACCCAGGAGGTGAAAGCATGAATGGTCAATACTATAGTCACATGCTGCCCAAAAATAAAGTAATCTTCCAGTTATGCTGGTGTCATTGATTTGCTTGATCACAACATTATGATTTTAATGTTTTACTACATTCTTTGTAAACAACAGGCACGCAAAAATAATGTCGGAGTCTGGTAACACTTTAGTTTAGGGTCAAATTCTCAGTATTAACTAGTTGCTTATTAACATGCTTATTAGGATATTGACTGTTTATTAGTACTTATTAAGCACATATTAGTGCCTTATTCTGCATGACCATTTTCTACATCCCTTAATCCTACCCAATACCTAAACTTAACAACTACCTACTGTATTAAAGAGCCCCTATCATAGCATTTGAAATATTCCTATTTTTGTTTTAGGAGTTCCCAAAAACAGTTTAACGTGCATGCAAGGATAAAAAACACTTTATTTGTCTTGTAATATGCATTTATTGTAAACTGATTTGCTCAACGACATTTCATGAGCAGAAAGAAATGTTTTTTGGAAGTCAAAGCTTAGTTTAAATGTCATATTTCAGTTTCAGTCATGAAGTATGGATGTTTGCTATTTAGACATTTGATGTTAAGCAAAACGGTAATTTTGCGGCAACCCTTGAACCAACACGATTGAGCTAGAGTGAAAGTGAAAGATTCTGACTTTTACCGCATGTAATGCAACACCTGTGAAGTGTGAACTTATTAGGGGTTCTTAAGTAAGTGCAAAACCTTGAGCTTCAGCTAAACAATTCTCATTTAACTTCAAAAATTAAATGGGAAAAAAACTTGCAATTGCATCTGGATATTATATTATAAGTGAATAAGGCCTAAAAGGAATAGTTCACTTTGAAATTAATTTTGATATGTTTTAGCTTACCTCAAGGGCATCCAAGATGTAGGTGTCTTTGTTTTCCACAGTATTTTCAATTTTGTTATTTTTAGGTCAAACCGTTCTTGTCTGTCAGTCATAAAATGGAGACCTATGGGGTTCACCTCAAAGAGCATGCAGAGAGAAGTCAAAATTAAACATGATTTAATGACTCGTTTGCATTGATGGCCTAAGACACGAAACAAGCGGTTTGTGTGAGAAAACAAACAGTATTTATATTGTTTTTACCTCTTGTAATCACAGTCACATCCAAGTGATCTGAGAGCACGGACAATTTCGGTCTGTGTATGCGCCTGAAAGTGCCGGAAGTGATCTCTCACGCGATTGCGAAAAAAATTCAACATTGTCTGTTGATGTATCAAAATCGTCTTCCATTGCGGTTTCCTGTATATCTAAATATGTTTAGATCTTCACAGTGAAAGGTAAAACTTCCGAAATCTCTGTGTAAACAATGAGTGACGTACACGTGCAAGAGATCACTTCCGGCCCTTTCCTGTACTAGTTTTGTACAGAAGCGTATAGAGCATCACAGTTCCACCCACAGCTGGTGCCCGAAGTAAAAATTCAATACAATTTCTCCACTGACAGTTGGGACATAGCATTAAAACTTAACCATACATGGTTACTTAAAACCAGCTACGGCTGTACTAACTCCATTGACTTTCAACACAGGCGTCTCATATTTTTGGTCTCGGCAGGCTATTACCGTCGTAGTTTTATCCAAAAAATGGTTAAACGTTGTGCCTCGGACATTTGTAACACAGATACGCGTTTCCCAGAGAGGTTAGAGGGGGGTGTCCGTTTTTTTTTCCCCTTCCCAAAACCGAAGTCAAATCCTGACAAGTGTCGTCTTTGTATTAAACCATAGACATATACACTAGACCTCACCTTGGATACGGCAGTTCATTGGAACGAATGCGTCAATAGAGCCGCCATCTTGAAACAGGGGAGCCCCTCCACTTTAATGCATCAGCGTCAATGTAGTAGACAGGTCTAACGCAAATAAAATCACCATAAATCATCATGAATGCGATTTTTCTTGTTTGTTCCAATGGTCAGACATGTATTTATTTGATTCCAGAAAGAATTTTTATTTTATTTTTTATTTTTAAAAACATTCTTCCTAGTTCAGATTTCATCCGTGAACATCATACGCTGCACAAAAGTCCGCCACCATCAATGAATTCGAAGTAAAGGCAGAGATAGCAGCGTTAGCTACTTCCTATGACAAGACCCCTGTTCCAAGATGGCGGCGGTTTTGACGCATGATTAGAATCCCCAGGTGAGGTCTATATGTCTATGGTATTAAACTGTGTGGACGTCCTCAGTCAGCTAAACCCCTCAACGATAAACAAGCACATATTTTTTTTACTTCTAACCTTACTGTGAGTGTGAAGATAAGTTCTACTAGTTAGACCGTTTTATTTAGGTTATGATTTGGGTTCTCATACCGGTTGTTGATACGGTAGCACACGCTGCTAATAAACAACGTTATACTGGTGTAGTCCGTTTGCTTTGTAATAACGATTATAGAAGTGAATAGAGACCTACCCAGCTTTGCATAACAGTGTTGCTCCCTGATATTGTTAGTCCCAGCCTCCGTCTCGATTAGTAGGATTATATGCGGTGATTATTTTTTTTGACTGTGACCGGTAACGTTATGCTTTTGCCTCTATTTTGGATGCATTGTTTGTTTCTTGCGTTTTACCTGTATGTCTTGAATAGCCTTCGAACGCATATTACAGCCCCCTTTGCCTACTTCAATCGGACACTTTATTTGATAACTTTATAAAAGTTTGATAACAGTTCAGCAAGATGAGCTGTTACAAAAGCCATGCAGAGTGCAGATGAAGTTTGACGGATGTAGCAACAGTAACTAAGGGGGGCGGGGCTTAGCCAAAGGTGAATTAACGTGTTAATTATCTCAGAATTACAAGAGAATTTTTCATGGAAAAAAGTTTTTTCTCTGTTTTTCTACTATATCAATAACTATTTAAAAGATAAAAGTTATTGTCATATTTTACTACCATTTTCTAAACTATAGCGAATAAACTGTGGCAATGCGAGAAATGTTGAAGGTGAATACATTTTCTGTGAGTGTCTCTGGCACAATTCACACAAAAATGGAAATTCAATATAGGTTAATTATTAACTCACATTCGTCCTAACTTCTGTTTTTGGAACACGCACACACACACACAAAAAGAGATTAAAAATGTCCCGCTTGATCGAGATTGCCCATTTATTGCCAGATTACGAGGATGCAGAAGTGTCATAAAATAAACCAACTTAACGCATTCTGTAGGATATATTTAAAATATTCTGAAGGTACAATGGTTTGAGAAACAAACCAAAAATGTAATGATTGCCTTAAATAGCCGAGTGACCTGTAACCTGTTGAACCCCAGGAATTGGCAAGACGGTCCTTGCATGCTTTGTAATCCATCAGAAACGTCACATTGTCCTTCTATAGGGTGTAAATACATTGCCGGTTTGATCACAGAGCCCGTTCTCATGCGTAAATATCCAACGCACATGGCACCCTTTAACGTGAAATGAGACGCAGATATATTTGGGCAGATGGCGCCCCCTAGTGGTCTAACCCTTACCCCACACCTTACCTAAACTTAACCATTAACCGAAGCGTCTCATTAGACGTTAAAGGGTGCCATGTGCGTTGGATATTTACGCTTTTGCAAAAGCGTCCTATATGGCGCTTTGGGATGAGAACGCGTTGGATCACAACATACAACTAGATGGACTAAATCAGTTCTAATGAAAGCAAACACCGTCAACAACACAGCCCCTATCATCATTACATCTTTATTGCAGAACAGAACTTTCCAAACTAACAAAACCAACAAAAGGGGCTTATGGTTTTTATTAGTTTCATTTTATTTCTTTTTTAAGTAAAAATCTCTTCTTGAAAATACCATCCTGCCACAATCGATAGTACACAACATCATTGAACGCTCTAGAAAAAACCTGTCTCGATCTGTTGAAGATTTTATGAGCAAATAAAATATGGAAGACACTGTTCGGTTTACATTTTTGTTGCTACTTGAGCATTTTAAAGCGTCAAAAAGCGAGTCCTGAAGTTAAACAAAATGGCAATGTTGTGGTTGCCCTTAAACCAACACAACTGAGTCGAGAGAAAGTTTTTCCACCTAATCTAATGCAACACCTGTGAATTTATTAGTGGCTCTAAAAAATACATTTAAAACCTTGCTTTTAAGATAAACAGACCAATGGATCATTTAGTGTTAGCAAAATAATTGTACAGTTATTTTCAAGAGGATCCTTGTAAATGCACTTAAGGAAACAAACTACAAAGAAAAAAACATCTCCCACATAAACCATTCAAACATACAACAGCATTCAAAACAGCATCATAATCGTAATCTGCAATTCCTTACAGGAATCCCTGTACTGTAAACGATGAATTCATGACCTGCTAGCGTCTCACTAGATCCTCAAACAGCAATAGACGGTCACGTCTGTGAACTGGAAGACTGTAGAGACCCCCAGTTAAAGATAAAATAAAAAATAGAACATGGTATAATATTTTTACTGTGGGAAAAATTATATCACAACACCACACCAAAACTGGATGACGGAAAATAGAATACATGCGCTTTCCGTAAATACGTGTTCTATCAGTCACAAGGAGACAAAATATTTATTTTTGCTTTGCTTTAGGAGAAAAAATACATGTTGAAGTGTCTCTGTGCAGTTATATATTTTTTTCTGATTTTATTCCGTGTCCACCATAAAATATATTTCTTGTCCGAGCAGCTCCCTTTAATGGTTTCTTGTGTTAGGGATGAGGAGACGCAGAGAAATCTGAGAAATAAATCAAAGTAAAAGCAGTTAAAAACAGTCAAAAATAATCATATAATATAATTCAAAAGTTTTGGGTTGGTAACCAAGGCTGCATCTATTTGTGCTGTAAAAACCGTAATATTGTGAAATATTACTACACTTTGAATTAACTGTGTTCTACTTTAATATATTTTAAAACTTAATTTATTCCTGTGATGGAAAATCATTACACAGTGTCACATGATCCTTCAGAAGACATTCTAATATGCTGAGTGTTGAAAGCAATTATATGCGTAATATTATTTGAGGAAACCAAACCGCAATATATATATATATATATATATTTCAGGATTATCTGATGATTTGAAGTTAAAAAAGAACAGCCTTTATCTGAAATGGAATCTTTTCTGACATTATGTACTGTGACTTCTGATCAATTTAAAGCTTCATTGCTAAATAAAAATATTAATTTATTAAAAAAAAAAACAACATCTTACTGACCCCATATAGTAGTATCGTTTGTACAGTAGTGTAAATAGAATATAAAAACCGAAATTAAATTCAAAGAGGTTTGTAAGGACACTGACCTGCAATCTATCTGTTTCCACCCTTCGTGGAAGATGAAGGCACCACATCTGAGCTCACTTTACCGGGCAGCTGATCCATGGCTGAAGAATCTTGTACTGACTGTTTCTGGGACACAAAAATCCGAATTTTAAGTATGCAAACCAAGCATGGAAACATTTCAAGCATTTGGTTGGTGAAATTGAAGGTTGCTTTGTGGCATAAGAGCACTACATATATGCAATAAATAAAAGAGTCAGGTGATCCTCAGCAGTTTGTAAACGCAAAGCCTTTGAGTATCAGACCAGCCTCAGTGTTCAAACAATGCAATCCTGCCAGATTTTGGGATGAATTTGCAAATATACAGCCATATTATTGCATTTCAGCTGATGGAATGGTGACCGAATGGGATTTTTAGTTTCTGTTTCTCCATGCTGCCGTTCATGAGCCAAAGCTACTGTGTAAGAACTAAATTCATGCATTCCAATTCATATAGAACCTACCTTTGGCTTAGACTTTGGTTTGAACCCCATTGCCTGTAATCAGATACAGATAGAGACCCCTGATATAAACCGGCTTGAACCAGTATAAAGGGTCGGGGGGAAAGCCAGGTGCTCACACAGTAATAGCATGCACAGATTTTTCCTACTTTTAATTTTCTCCCAGTACATATTTTTTACAGAGGTAGATTGGGGAAATAAAACATTATTTTTTCTGAAAGAACTGAATGACCAGAGAATATGTGAAAAAAGTGATGATCAGCATCCACATAAAGGACCCTTTTCACATTTCTGGGGTTGTCAAAAGCGGAAGTCATCATACTTAGAAAAACTTCTATAGTGGTGAATAAGAGATGACAGCAACTATAATATTTGAGTTCCCATGTGCTCCAATAGCAAAATAAAATCCATGACTTTTCCAAAAAAGAGGGACAAATAGAGTCAAATTTGCCATCACTGCCTCAGAAACACCTCGCAGAGTTGCGCTCATTTGGATTTTGTAATTTACTGCCAAGATGTGACACAATGTATAGCACTGTATGTATATTCATATAAATGTATATTCATGAAAAATGAAAATGTGACAAAAAAATTTTTGAAAATGGATCACAGTCTATAAAAGGTGTCCGTAATGACAATTGACCTGTGGCCTGATTCTTACCTTTGGTTTGCTGTCTTTGGCTTTGGGGTCGGTCAGGTTGGGAATCAATTTGCTTGCCATCTGATCCAAAACTGGACCTGATGCCTTTAAACAAAGACAATAGAAATAATCAAACATAGTACTTGTGTAAAGAATTTACAGGGATAATTTAGATATTTATGCAGGTTTGTTTGTGGTACCTTAAAGGTTGGCGGTGTTGGTTCAGGGGTGAAGTGTTGGGCATCAGGTGCAGAGGGCTTAATGCTCGGTACTGTAGAAAAATCACTAGACAGCATGTCAAGGGCCGTTGTGTCATCGATTGATGTCTGAGAGATGGACAGACAAACAGTCAAATGAAACAAAAATTTGTAGATTTTTAGTTATTGTTTATTGAAGTTCTATACAGTATTAGAGCTGCATGGTTAATCGTTAAAAGATCACAATCTCGAATTAAACACACATGTGATCTTATTCCTAAATGAAATCGATTCGGCTATATCTATTAAACCTTTGGAAAGTACGATCACAGTGGGACATTCAAATCTGCATTGGCGCTGCCACTGAGCCAGAGAAAGCAGCTCATGGAACAGCTTCACAAACAAAAAAAAGTCTTTTCAAACACACAGTATCATTATTTCTGTCTTGCAATAGTTCAAATGATCACATGAGTTTAAATTTTGGATCAAAATAGAGCAAATCACCTTTTAAAAGGAACATGACTCTTTTAAAAAAAGATCAATTACATCATTACACCAGTAGATGGCAACAAGTGACTTAAACTATTTTATTTGAATTGTATATGAAGTCTTTATGAGCGAGTCATTAAATGATTCTTGGAAGCCTTTCAAAAAATAATTAATTTAATAAATATTTTTAAAACAGACTGCAGAAATTAACATTTTGTCAATCTCTATTAAATTGCACAATTTTATTTAGCTGTTTATTCAGAATCGTGGCAAAATTATGATTCTCTTAAACAACAACAAAAGTGATTTCAATTATGAATTTATACTAGGAACATGAAATTGTTGTGTGTTTGTGTGTGTGTGTGTGTTATAACACACAAGACAATTTCATGTTCCTAGTCACCCTGGTTAGCTAAAAATAAAAATATTAATGGGAATATACTTCAGAGATATTTTACTTGTAAGGTATCAATAATTGTGGCCAACGTTTTTATTGTTTTGTTTTTTTTGAGAAAAACATTTTTCATATTGTGATTTACCCCCCCCCCCCCCTTTCAATTCTTTTACTTTAATTAAAGTTTTGATTTTTGCACATTTTTTGAATGAAAGATGAAAAGGATAAACCACAAAGATTTATTTTTTGCAGCCATTTTTGATTGTATTTACCAGAGGTGCCATTAATTCTTACCACAACTGTGTGTGTGTGTATATATATATATATACTGTATGTGTGTATGTAATCTCCTTTATAGTCAGTGATTCATAAAGTACCTGCTTTGGTTTGACGTCTTTCGGCTTTGCTGCTTCAGATGCCTGTGGAGAAGACTGAAGAACAAGTGGAAAATTTGTCACATCTTTAGTAATACATAAGTATTGTAGTTTGATGCATAATGGAGAAGCAAAAGTCACCTTGTGGCCTTCCTCTCTGAACCTATGATCTGGTGGAAGGGTGTCATCTCTCTCACCTGGTTTACTCACTTTCTCCTCCTTTATATCCTTTTCCTGTGGTGGGAAGAGAAAAGCAGTATAGTCATAATACAGTTTACATGACCATATTTTGTCTTTAAGCCGCCTGTGAAAAGATACACTATTGTTCAAAAGTCTGGGGTCAGTAAGATAATCTTCAGCCAAGTTTTTCCTAACACTGGGATACTACGGAAGAATATGCAGAGCGGCAGACACCACACAATACCAGGAAACACAAAGTTTGGTGTATCATCTATCTCACATTGATCTCTTTAACAAATAAACATGTTTTTAGGAACTCAAGAGTAAGTTGGGGTGCTGTAAAGGTTAGTTTTCATGGATCATATAATAAAAAAACTTTTTTTGATGCACTATTTAAAAAGGCAGATGATGTCTATAACAAATTCAAAATGTCCCACAATTGGTTGTTGTAGTTTTATGGTGATGACATTTTTTTAATTACAAAAATAAGTAGTGCTGGTCATGTATTCACATCTGATTCAGTTGTGTGTGTGGAAAGTGGAAAGACACAGTTATTAAAAGGTTTGTTACCTTAACGATGGCTTTAGGCGGGACAGGGGCAGGCTCAGGAGCTGCTTTTATGTCTCCCAGGGTGTCTGAGAGGGCATCCAAAGCTGATGAGGTACTTTCTGATAACTGCACCAAAAAATAGAAGAGAAACTCAGTATAAAAGGAAAGTATGAACATGTATAATATGTGAAAACATGGATAAACTATAAAATGTACCTGTCTGGCAGCTTGTGGAGGGCCAGAGACAGCAGACTGAACTTTAGATGCAGAAGAAGGAGCGACAAAATCACCAGCGAGAGCATCTAAAGCATCTGAAGCTGAACCTGAAGGCTAAAGAACAGAATGAGAAGAATGGTTTAAATCAACATTGAGATGCTATTGATATTAAACATACAGTACACAATCATTCAAAAGTTTGGGGTCAGTTATATTTCTTTTTTTTAAATTGATACTTTACTTGCATTTAATTGATCAAAAGTGACAGTAAAGACATTTATAATGTCACAAAAATGTACTATTTCAAATAAATGCTGTTCTATTCACGGTTGTATTATGGTTTCCACAAAAATATTAAGCAGCACAACTGCTTTTAAAATTAATAATAATAATAATAATAATAATGAACATTTTACAGTAAATCAGCATATTAGAATTATTTCTGAAGGATCATATGACACTGAAGACTACAGTAATGATGCTGAAAATTCAGCTTTGCCAACACAGGAATAAAACAGTTATTTTAAATTGTAATAATATTACTTTTACTGTATTTTTGATCAAATAAATGAAGCCATGGTGAGCACAAAGCACTTTCAAAAAGATTTTAACCATCTTACCAACCCCAGACATCATTGATATGTATGAGAAACAATTAAGACATCAAATACACCACAGTTGTTTGTTTCCTACTGTATGTGGATGTTCATGAGTCTCACCTGAACAGGAGTCTTGGAGGAAGAACAAACAGGGGTCTTGGCAGCAGATGGGACAGTTGAGGTGGTAAAATCACCAGACAGAATATCCAGAGCATCAGCAGTGTCTAGAGAAGGCTTGAACAAAAGAAAGCATCCACCAATCAAATCCCAAGAACGGTGACCAATCATCACACATCCATGAGACAAAACACATATAACAACAAGAGCAATGTCACTTAATGCTAATAACTGTGACAGCATATTACCTCTTTAACAGGAGCAGGATATTTCTTGAGCTCTTCCTCTGAGAATCTGTAATCTGGTGGGAGTGTGTCGTCTCTCTCCCCGACACGAACACCCTTTTCGGATGTCAGTTCCTTCTCCTGCTCAAAAAACATTCAATTATGTAACAAGAAATGTTGCAATGATATCTAAATTTGTAAAAGACATTAAAAATCAAAGAAGAGTCATGACTCTTACATGAACAATGTCCCCAGGTTTGAGTTCAGGCAGTTTTTTTGGTGGTTCTGATGGACCCAGTGTGTCACCCAGAGCACTGAAAGGGTCCTACGCATATGAGAGAAAAAGAGTCACATAAAAAAAATCTACAGCGTCCAGAAAACTGAATATCAGTTCTAATATTAAAAGAAAATATACAACTGATTTGACCAATTTCATATATTTACATGACTTCATGATTTTTTTTTTTCCAGGATATGAAATACCTCGTCTATCTCTGGTTTTTGCGGAGGGCCTGGAGGGACAGGAGCAGCCGAAGAAATCTACGGCATACAATAATAGAATTGAATAGAATACCAAAAACTATTTTTCTTTTGAGTGAAAACACATACTGGAAATACTGGACAGAGTGCAATGATAGTTGAGATTTGAATCAAGCATGTTTCCATCCACCTATTTTTATGCTAAAAAAAATCTGGATAAACTAAAAAAAATTATAAATTATAATTTATATGATAAATTTAAAAAAATTTAATATAAAATTTTATATAAAATGTTATATATAAATATAAAATGTAATTTATATGATACATTAAAAAAATATAAATGTAAAAAATCTGGATAAATTAAAAAAAAAGTAAAAAAATTAGCGTAACATAAATGTATGCGCTCAATTGAGGTGAATAATTTCTTTTATCCAATAAGACGACATTTACCGAATAAATCCCACAATTAATTAATTTATTTTTACAATTTACAATTAATTTTTATAACAGATACTTTGAGGCAACTTCCCAGGAAGTGACGATTTTGTTCTCTTGAACACATAGGATGAAAACGTGGCTTTACTCGCAAATGTTTTAAATGTTTAAAGTTAAATATACAACTTTGGACAGAAACAAAGCTTTTGGCATTTGATGGTACCTTAGAAGCGGACTTTGGAGGAGCCACGAAATCACCAGCCAGAGCATCCAGTGCTGATGATTCATCCACTTTCTGCTAAAAGAAGATTAGAAAGACAGAAGGCAAGCAGGTTAATATGTTCAAGACAAACACTAACACTTATTACTAGTACAACTTATTTGCATAATAACAAAGCATTCTGTAAAACGTGCTTAATCGCAGCATCCTGTCGTCAAATGTATTTCTATTTATGTACGCTGTACTACTGTACTATTAACCATTTTCTCAATTCTGCCAATTTCATACATAGATGTCCTAGTTTCATGTCTTTTCAGCTCAATTCTGTGTCACTTCCTCATCCAATAGCATAGCAATTTCAAATCAAATCAATATTTCATGTCAATTTTTTGGGAAAGTAGCAGTGTAAAAAGTTTTATAATGTACAGTCAGCCAGCATCATATCAAAATAAACACTGACAATAAAAGGCTTACCTTGGGAACGTCTTTAGTCTTCTCAGGAACCGGAGCAGGCTTCTTTGTTTCCTGATTCAAAAAGATACCAGTGGTTAAAGAACAATTTGAATTCTTAAACCTATATAATGCAATAATATTTGTTACGGTTATGTTAACATAAAATAAATCACACACAAGGAAGAAAAAAAGGCTAAAAAGCAACAGCACAGAAAGCTTTCCTACCTTGGGAACGTCTTTAGTCTTCTCAGGAACCGGAGCAGGCTTCTTTGTTTCCTGATTCAAAAAGATACCAGTGGTTAAAGAACAATTTGAATTCTTAAACCTATATAATGCAATAATATTTGTTACGGTTATGTTAACATAAAATAAATCACACACAAGGAAGAAAAAAAGGCTAAAAAGCAACAGCACAGAAAGCTTTCCTACCTTGGGAACGTCTTTAGTCTTCTCAGGAACCGGAGCAGGCTTCTTTGTTTCCTGATTTGAAAAATGATAAAATAACCAACTGAATGTTAACTAATGTTATGTTTTTATAAAATACCAGCTTTTTATTGAGGAGCAACAAACTGTGGGATGGAGGCTTTAACAACATGTGAGCAGTGTTGGGGATATTGCGTTACTCGTTATTATTTTTTAACAACAAATTGCTATTTTTGGCAAATGTAAAGGCCCTTTCACACTAAAAGTGAAACGAATAAGCCTCGGGCTGAAGGAAATCCAACTTCACTCCTGTACAGTAGAAAGTGCGGCTCAAACCTTTCAGATGTGCTGCCATTCTGGATTGCAGTAACTTTGCGTTTTTAGTTACTTGGAAAAAAAAAGTAATCTGATAATGTAACTCACATTACTTGTATTGTACATTACTGAATTACCCCAACACTGCATGTGACTATAAATGGCTTAAAACAACACAGCAGAGAAACAGCCTTCCTACCTTAGGAACATCTTTGGTCTTCTCAGAAACCACATCAGGTTTCTTCTTTTCCTGATTAAACAAATTAATAATTTTTAACTACTCAAATGTACATTATAAGCATTACATAATGTAATATTGTAATTAAATGGTTATAAATGATTACCTGTGCAGGAGGAACGGGGGCCTTAACAACAGGTGCTGCCGCAGGGGTCGTGAAACCTTCAGAAAGCATGTCCAGTGCATCATCTGTGTTCAGTGAGGGCTAAGAGAGAGAGATCCACCAATCAGAACACAGCATCCAGTGACAACAGCCAATCACAACATACCATTAATACAACCCATTTCTCCTCACATACTGTAAGTAAACATTCTCAATGAATTGAAGAAGAATAAGAGACGACACAGATTTGAAATCTTTTGTAGATTGTATTCTATGTCTGACCTCTTTTTTAGGAGCAGGATATTTCTTGAGCTCTTCCTCTGAGAATCTGTAACCTGGTGGGAGTGTGTCGTCTCTCTCCCCGACACGAACACCCTTCTCGGATGTCAGTTTCTTCTCCTGCTCAAAAATATGCAGATGTTTAGAAACATATAGAAAATGAGTACTTCTATACAGGGTTACTATCATTTAATAAAACTATTAAAAACAATTCTGTTCATTGAAAAAAAATATAAATATTATTATATATAATATATAATATATATATATATATATATATATATATATATATATATATATATTTCTTTTTTTTTTACAAATTTTAAAAATAAAACAAAAACTAATAAAATGACAAAAGTTTAAAACTGTATCTAAAATTAAGATGGAAAACAAAAACTAATAATATAATAAAAGCTAATACAAAATATTAATAAAACAGTAACAAAACAAAAATACTCCATACTAATGCTTTGATAAAAAAAAAAAAAAAAATTAAATAATCTAATAAGAATTATGAAATAATAAACAGAACTGTTACATCAACAATCTGCCCAGGTTTGAGTTCAGGCAATTTTTTGGGTGGTTCTGGAGCGCCCAGTGTGTCGCCCAAAGCACTGAGAGCATCCAGCGACATGGAGTTGTCTGACTAGAATAGAAAATAGACACAATTTCAATTCATTTTGAATAAAAATACATTGACTTATCTGAAATATTGAATTCTTAAAATAAGTAATGACCATTATTTCATTAAAGTATTGGGTTGAACTTGACTTTACCTCATCTGTCTTTGGTTTAGTGGGTTGTGTGTGGATATCTAGTTTGGCTTTCTTGTCAGCCGGAGGAGCGGGGGACTTGGTTACAGTAGCAGGTTGAGACGTCGCCTGTTGTTTCTGCTCAAGGAGACAGAGACATGCTTAGCTTTTAGACATGCTAATGTTATTGTCGTAGTGTTTTAAATGTTGTTACCGGCTGATAGGGTGGAGGGGGAGCAAAGTTGGAGATGCCAGCTGATTGCACATCGACTGCTCCTATTGTTTCAGTTTTCTGAAAAACAGCCAGTAAATACCGAAAAAATATTAAAACATTTGCATAAAGTCAATACTATGCATGTACATCCGAATGATCTGATATGACTTAAGCCAGGGATTTAATAATATGATTTAATAATATAATATGCTAATATTCTAAAATGATAATTTTTATGTTTTTTTGTTGTTATTAAAATAATTTAAATTAATACTATGTTAAAAAAAAGAAAAAGAAAATATTTTCCATTTGCAACTATTTTCAAAATGATACAAGGGTACACAGAAAATTATCAAATAAAATATAATAGCAGAAGATATATTATAACTTAGTATTTAGTTATTATTAAAACAAATGTTAAAATTAATAATCCAAAAAAATTATTCAACATATTAAGCTATTAAAAAAATATTATAGTTAAGTTACAAATAAAAAATTGCTAATATAGTCCATATAATATTTCTTTCATTTTTAAAAGACTAAGACTATAAAAATAAAACTGGCTTTATATTTTAATTAAAATAAAATTCCCTCACAAGGTGATTATCATAACTGAGGGTCTATGTATGGCATTAAAAAACTTTGAAAACCCCTGACTTAAGCAAAAACACAACAAACTGTTGTCAAAATAGGCTACGCACCACATCTGTCTTCTTAGGAACAGTTGGAGCTGAAGACACAAACCCAACCGAGAGGGACTCCAGTGCATCGTCTGTGCTCATAGGCTTTCAGAAACAAACAAGCACACGTAAATAAATAAAAAATAAAAAACAGGATTGTGCACAAAATGTCAAAAAGAATTTATTAATAGTGTAATTCTAGAAAAGACCACTAGAGGGAACCCCAAGCTAAATTTTAGGGGAATAACAAACAGCATGTGTCGTGGCAGGAAAAGTACAGGCACACCCTCTGCATACCAAGAGTTCGACATTAACAACACACTGCGTGCTTTCACACACTAACTTATAAAACAACCAGCAGCTGAATAATCAGAGGGAAAAGCTGTACAAAATGGTGAGATGTGATAATATTCGGAGAACTGAAGGGTGGGCGATGGTCATTTACAAAACAACTTGGCATATGGTATATCATATGCCAAGTTATGTCATTATGTCATGGTATAATAAGTGAAATGCAGCACAGGTTGTGTGTGTGTGTGTGTTATACTGTAGCTGATTGAGCAACAATGTGCTTAAAGTGAATGAGTGATGAATTTGTGTTTGGTTCTGTTTGCTAGCCAACACCCTTAGATCAAGCTAAATATTTGGCACTAAAAAACAGACAGAGACTAAATATATACATACACACACATGTATAAGACCCTATATGGACATGGTTTGGGTGTGTATTATGCTAATTACTTACTGTCATTTTTAATTTTGCAAACTAATCAGCATTATATTGAGGGTAAGAACACAAAACATGTTTATGCTAATTTTCTCAATAAAAGGTGCTGCATTGTGCATTAGGCCCAAAGACAGAAAGAATGGGACAGTAACAATCAAGTTGTGCTGGGAATAGGCAAGTAAACAATGGAGACTTCAAACTTGTGTGAACTAGAAGAATGGAAGTCACATGATAAGAAAAAAAGCTAAAAACAATACACTGACAGTAAAAGCCCTCCGCAACTCTCCTACCTTGGGAACATCTTTAGGCTTCTCAGGAACTCCAGTAGGTTTTTTCTTTTCCTGAATATATAAATTAACACCGGTTAGACTCAAAACCCTCTGAGAAAAGATTGAAAAACATGCTCCTCTAAAAACAAATGCTTGGATTAGACAGTCAGAAACATACTCTAAACATCAGTGAGATTGATATAATAAAAAAGTAAGACTGATAGAGGCATTATAAAAAGGGAAACAAATCAGGAATGTGGGGAGAGAGAAGGAATGATTTTTAAAGGAACAGTTCACTCAAAAAACAAAACAAAAAAAGCTAATCGAATGGCTTAAAAAGATAGTTCACCCAAAGGTGAAAATTCTGTCATCATTCACTCACCATCATGTTCCAAATCTATAAGACTTTCGTTCATTTCGGAACCCAAATGAAGATATTTGTGATAAACAATCGAGTATCCGCAAGAACCAATGAGATCGTGTCAATTCGTGTCAATGTTTATTTGATCAATGTTTTTGTGAATAAAAGCCTAAATTAAATCTGTTCATCAGATAAAGCGATCAAGTCTATTCAGAAGACTTGGATTCAATTACTTTATTCATATGGATTCATATGGATTTATTTAACAATCTCTTTATAAAATGTTTTGTACTGACAGTTTCAAGAGAATAGACTTTCAATGGAGGGACAGAAATCTCTTCCAAACATGAACAAAAGTCATATGGGTTTGGAACAACATGAGAATGAGTGATTGAGTGAACTATCCCTTTAAGAAGACGTGGAATATAGCACACAAGTGCTTCTTTAGGCTTCTTTTATTATTCTTTTTAGTGCCTTTCTGTCAATTTTGAAGGTTGAAAGCCCCCATTAATTGTAAGTGTCTGAAAATGTATGCCCAAACTTTTCTTTTTTTTTCTTCTTTTTTTTTTTTTAAATCCTCATTTTGTGTTCAATGGAAGAAAGAAAATCATCCAGGTTTGAAATAACATTAAATTTTTGGTTGAACTATCCCTTTAGCTACAAATCACACCAAGCCGACGCCGAACTAGCGCTGATGAAAGCCGACTGTGTTGTCGCCTCACGTCGGGGTAAAAAGCTGAACTTGAACACACCGAGAGATCTACAGGCGACTGTCAGCTATAATGTGCGTTCTGCGCCTGCGTGTAAATGAACCAACTGTCTATTTCTGCAGATATATTAGTCTATATTCGTCATTCAAAAAGGGAAACCGACGCTGCAGGCTGCAGATACACGTACTGTAAACAAAGCAGCGAGTGCTTACCGTTTTGAATATCAATCCTGCTAAAACGCTTTTTTTTATACCACTCCGCTCATTTTAATATTGAAATATTCGCCAAGGAACACTCAGGTAAGATGACGTAACATTAGAACAGCCTTCTATCTTTACTGTTTTGAATTCTCTGCTCGCTGTTTTGCTATTGTTCTTGTGTACTGACTCATTCCCTAAGCTGAACAGCCAATCAGAGTTCCCTCTTTCACTCTTTCAAGATGTCGAATCGGCCGTAAAAAAGACGACGAGGTCCAATTTCAGCCGGCGGTGCGGAACACACCAAGAAGACGCACAAAAACTGCCCGACGGCCGACCGTCGGCTTGGTGTGTTGTGTTCCAGGCTTAAGATGAAAGAAATAGAAAAAGAAAGAGGTTAAGAATATTTCATGATCGCCAACTGACCATGTCTTCCTTTCTGTATCCGGGCGGAAGTGTGTCATCTCTCACACCACACAAAACACCAGTCTCTGGTTTTACATTTGGCTGAGACATTCAACACACTCCATTAGAAAACACACACATATAGCAAAATACAGGAGCATTCACAAACACATGCTAAGATAATTGCTTAAAGGGTTAATTCCCCCCAAAATGAAATTTCGGTCACCCAATTACTCACCCTTTCTAAACCCATAAGACTTTCGTTTTAATCTTCGAACACAAATAAGCATTTTAAAGTATTTTAAATTAAATCTTAGTGATTTTTGGGCCTCCAGTACATGTGTATTCACTCAAAACTCTTGAAACATTTGTAAAGAGATTGTGAAAAATTCATATTAATTAATTTAGGCTTTTATTTACATATAAACATTGATCAGCGAATGTACATACATATAATATTCAAATTTGGTAAACAGAAGCTCAAACATGCTTGCTTGACGTGCGAGAACCAATGAGGTTCATTCTCGTGTTACGCAGCAAGTTTGAGCTTCTGCAAGAACCAATGAGGTTTGTTCTCAAGCATCAAGCAAATTCGGTTAAACTTCGGTTAAACAGTTTGCTCACTTCGCTGATCAATATTTATTTGTGAATAAAAGCCTAAATTGAATCTGTTTATCATATAAAGTGATCATGTCTCTTCAGAAGCTTGGTTTATTTGGATTTCTTTCACATTCTCTTAATGAATGATTTCAAGAGTAAGAATTTTGGGTGAATAGACTTTCACTGGAGGGCCAGAAATCACTTAGATTTCATTTAAAATATTTTCATTTGTGTTCCAAAGATGAACAAAGTTCTTATGGGTTTGGAATGACATGAGAGTGAGAGTAACTGATGACAGAATATCATTTTTAGGTGAACTTTCCTTTTAAGTTTTAAATAGACATCTGTCAAATATCTACACCCATGCATTACCTCTGTGACCTCTGGTCCAGTGTATGTTGGGACTTTAGGAGCAAGAGGTTTTGATGATGGTAAAGTGCCAGACAGGGCCTCAAACGGATCTACATCCTACACACACATAAAAAATAAACACATTGAAAAGTTTTTAAGACACAATATCTGATGACCACACAACAAAAAGCCACAAAGATAAACTTAGCATGCATACTAACCTCCGTACTGACTTTAGTTCCTGGAGGACCCACTTCCACTTGCACCTGCAGCACAAAGCAAAATTACTCTATTATTATATCATACCTGGACTGGCTACATTACTGAAACATTCAAGGTATTATTCAATAAATTGTCAAGACATCCATGTACAGTAAGATGGCCATATGTTTCTCACCAAATTGTATGGTATATTCCATCATGGTATACAGTATATGGTATATATATACAGTATATGATAATTAAAAAAAAGTAGTTATTACAATTTTTACAAAACCTACAGTAAAAGAAATGGTGACCAGTCACAGAAGCTAAAATATACACTTTCTCTACTCATACCAATTTTAGCCAAAAATCATGGGGGAAAAAATTATTTTCATAGATATCTTTCCATTATATAGCTACTGTTAAAAGGTTTGGGTCAGTAAAATTTTCTTTATAAGTAATATCTGTTTTTTAGCAAGCAGGTCACATTAAAATGAAGTAAAGACAGAACTCCATTTCAAATAAATAAATGTTCTATTCACTAAAGAATCCCGACAATGTCATCATAGTTTTCACTCAAATATTAAGCAGCACAACTTTCAACATTGATGAAAATAAATGTTTCTTGAGCAGAAAATCAGCATATTCCAATGATATCTAATATGATTTCTAGTTTTCCTAATGGACTCATTTTAAATTTGAATAATATTCCACAATATTAGTGATTTTACGAGATTTTTGTTCAAATAAAAGCAGCGCTGGTGAGACAATTAAAATATATTACTGACCTCAAACTTTTAAATAGTAGTGTACATGTGTTCTATTTCGACCAGCGTGAGTGGCTTTACATCCCGAAGTTATGTTCTGTGATGCTTTGAAATGCATTAAGATGAGTTTATGCATGGGCCTGAACTCAGACGGTAGTTGTTAATCATTTGCAGAAAAAAAACTGATTCCTCTAATGGCCCTTTTAAATTCCAATAAGAAATAGTGGTTTCTTCTTTTCAAGCACAAATCTCTTTGCACTTTTAGCATTAAAATTGGAGGTTAAAATAAGAATGTTGACGTAATTTTGATGCACTCCTGATGATCCTGTCATTTCATAAGTACCTTTTGGGCACTTGTTTGCTTTTGGGCACCAGCAGTGGCTGAGGGCTTCCCAACAGCCGGATCCACTTTAGCAGGTCCCGGTTTGGATGAAGGAACAGTTGTACTCTATCAGAAGAATACGCCCCACATATTCGAGTATTAATACCAACTTTCACATGATGATACTAAATTAAATAAAGCAATTGTGCAGCCAAAGCAAATCCAGAGAGGGAAGAAAAGAGAAAGAACTGAAAGATAAGACCTCTTGTCATATCTTTTCAAGAGTGCAATGATGCGACTCCTTATACATGTGTTTGAAAGATGGACATCATGGTGATAGGAGAATGAGACATTGCTAAGGTGGGATTATCCATTCAAGAGAATTCTTGAAGTAAAAGCAGCAATAAATGGTGTGCAGAAGAGGACATCATAAGCGGCATGTTGATGAAGTCATGTTTGCAGAAGAATAAGGAGACTCCAATGAATGATGTGCATTGGTGTACCTGGGCCTTGTCTTTCACAGGATCTGTGGGCTTCACTCCTGTTCCACCTGTCGGTCCAGTAGCGGAGCTCGTAGTTGGGACTTTAGAAGAAGACGCAGGTGTGGGTTTAGAGACTGTGGCCTGCAATCAGCATGCCGGAGTGAGATACTCATTATACATCATTTAAGTATGAAGATGAGATAACGCTTCAATAGGCGGCACCCAGAAAGTCATGAATGTGGTCAGCGTTGAGTCCCAAAGAACAAACAAAAAGCACCATCTCCATTAGACAGAGGCGTTTGTGCAACAAATGGTCCTACAGATGTTTTCCAGAAACAACCCAAAAGTGTGTTAGTAGTATTCACCAAGAATGAAAGCAAGATTGATTAGGATAGAAAGGATTAGGTGTTAAAAAGACAGTATGACCCTGATGAAAACCAGCGTGAGGAAGGTGTGAACAAGCCCAAAGTCCGATAATTCCAGTAGACGGATGGTGTCTACCTGTGGTGTGACTTGAGAAGGTGCTTTCTGAGTGGTGGTAGAGCCTCCAACGCCTACAGCTCCCACAGTAGATGGAGCTACTGAAGAAGCTGCTGGGGTTGCAGGGCTGGTGCCGGGTTTAACAGCAGCAGAGGATTGCATAGGTCCTTTCTACAATGCAGATGTGAGGATGTCAATTATATATCATGTTATTCCACATGTTATTGATGGAAACTATTCGGGAGAGAGGCAATGGTATCAGAACAGATTCAAACCTACGCCTCCTGCTTGAGCACCACAGCTCAATTGTGCCAGGATGGCATCCACTTGGTATCAACTAGTTTTGCTAGTAATCTTTGTTTTCAGTCTAAAGGCCTGTTCACACCGGGATGAATTTCGCGCGCGTTATTCGCCGACGTTTAACGCCTCATGACTAAACAAAGGGCGCCAATGTGAGTGTTCACACCGACGCGTAAAAAGCGTAATTTTTTTTTTAAAAACGCCCCGGGTTCGTTTTTTTAGTTTGCCGCACCACGTCAAAAACTATCCGACCAATGAGATTGGCGCTTTTGCTCACGTGTTTAAAGCTTCTGAAGTTACAGTAAAATACAACTTGGGAGGCGCTCAAACACAAAACGGTTTGCCGAGCACCCATATGCAATGGTATAGAAGATCTACGCGTCGCCGTCTACACCTACGAGGAAGATGAGATGCAAGGCAAGGTGAATGTAGAGCTGCTGTTCTCATTGGTGCTAGAACATAAAGAACTATTTGACAAACGCGACAGGGACTACAAACGTCTCGAGAAAAGAGAACTGTTATGGAGTGGTATTGCAGAGCAAATCGGCGCCATCTAATGTCAGGGAATGAATTTGCATGTTCACTCGGCTCGTCGCCAGCGAAAATCGCTTGGGTGTGAACACAAAAAACGCGTTGAAAAACGCTGACGAATAACGTGCGCTGATATTCGTCCCGGTCTGTACGGGCCTTAAGGAGTTACTTGTTAACCAGGTGATATTGGGAATGAGTGATACCTATAACAATCACACAAACAGCAATTCCAAGTAAATCAAAAGCAAACTTTAGCTGTAACTAGATTCAGGAAAGTGAGTCATAGAGCAGATGCCTCTCAAGGGAGACAGCATGTCCAGCCACAGCCAAATATCGCAAATAGAAACATGCTCTGTCCAAAGGCAACAAATAACCACAAGAAAAAATAAAACATTTAAAACAACCAAAAAGTCTCAAAATCAACCAACAAAGTTGGTCCATACAAACAAAGGATTGTATAAATACTTCTTTATATTAGTATCTCTATGCAGTAACTATTTTAGGCCCTCTTGTAGCTTTTAATGTTGGTGCATGTTAAATCAAGCACATAGCAACCTAGCAACAGCCACCCAAAACACCCTAGTTTTGTGGTGAGGACTTTTGTACTGGCAAGTAGCCTTCATTTGATCATCAAAAAAAAGAGAAGCTTGTTACACATAGTGAGTAGCAATAAACAGTTTATCTGAATAGGTGGAAGACTTTTCCCAGCTCGACACCACACCTCTTAAAAACACAGTAGCGTCCCTAACAGAACAGTACAGATACCTGCATACTTCAAATGAGTAAAAAGCAGACGACTACCAATATCCAGTGTAGATGTCATGGGTTGATGAAGTTGTAGAGTGGAGTGTAGTCTTTGCGTCAGACAAATGATTGAGCTAATGTGAATAAATGGAGTAAATGCCTGAAAAGAATGAAGGTTTTTACCTCAAATTGTGCAGGTTTCGCTGAGGAGACCTGAGATGTTGAGGTGGGTGTGACGTGCTGAGACTGCAATGAGAAGAGAGACAGAAAGAGGACGGTTGAGTGTCTGAGAGAAGGAAATGCATTTACAAATAGCATTATTGCTGCATGCATAAGTGCACTGCACTATTAACTGACTTGCCCTGACCTCGCTATATTAAAAACAGCCAGAATCACATGCAAATCATGAGTCTAGTGCAAAGCATAAGGTCATGCTGAATCAGAGTGAAGAGAAACCCAGTGAACACATTGTCAAACACACTTAAATATGTGTGCATTATTCAAATGGGAGCAAAAAAAGTAGCTTAGGTGCATTTCTAATCAGATGCAATACGAGAAACTCTGAAGCAATAACAATCCTAACTGATCTTTAATGTACAGTAAGCACTAAGTAGTTCTACCAGTTCACAGATTGCATCTTGAACAAGGGCTTTTTTATACTAGACAAGAAGACTATTAACCACCAAACCACCATCCACAGCAACCACTTCTAGCCATTTATTGTTTGTGGTCCTCTAAACCTTTAAATTAACCTTTAAACACAAATGTGCCATTTATTTATTATAGTGACAGTTGCTTGGGGGTAAAATGGTGACAGCTCATGGATTGCTTTTCTTTTGGCCTTTACAGTTTCTCTGTCCACAAACCTTCTAGGTGGAAGAGAAATAAAAGGAGCACCCAGCATGTAGATTTACTGCTTCGATGTGCCTTAAAGTCTTCTAACAAGCTCAGCAGGTTTTAGGTTATGTACTGAAAGAGGGAGGATTGTTGATGATGAAATACAAATAACCAGAGACGTTACAGTCAAACATTAGCATTATTCATGTGATTAAAGCTCTTCCATGTAAATTTGAGGTTTTCGTTCCTCAGTGACCTCGGCAAGTAATTAGTGACAGGACATTTCGTCTATCGCTAAACTTCTTTTTATAGAATGTTGCACCAAATAACTCTGGTCCAAAATCCAGTTCCACATAACTCTACAGTGAACATATCTCATGATAGTGTCACATTGACCTACTTGACCTTTGACTCACAGAAAACATGATCCATGGATGTCAAGGCAGGTCAGAGGAACCTTTTAAAAACATTTTCAAAGATCACTTCTTTCTCATTTTTTAAAGTTGTTTAATTTATTGGATATATTTGTTAAGGAATAATAATATATTTTTAAAATAATAATATCAAATAATAATAATTATTATTATTATTCATGTTGCTAATGCTTAATTAAATCCAATTCCTTTTTCTATTATTTAAATCTTTATACTTATTAATAAAATAATTTTAAATAATAATAATAAAAAAGAGTCAAGCATTATACAGTTTTTATTAAGTTCAATTTATTAGATGTAAAAATCAAACTATATATATATATATATATATATATGGGCTGTGCAAAGATTAATTAATCACATCCAAAATAAAGGTTTGTGTTTACATAATATATGCGTGTGTGCTGTGTATAATTATTTTGTATATATAAATACACACACATACACATACATGTATATATTTAAGAAAATGTGTTATTCATATATAAAGCATATATATATACTGTGTGTGTGTATATATATATATATATATATATATATATTCACAGTATATTATATTTAATATATAAATATAATATTTGCATTTATTTATATACTGTATATATATATATATATATATACACACACATACAGTATTTATGTGGAAATAATTCTCAAATATATACATGCATGCATATGTATTTATATAAACAAAATAATTATACACAGCACACACACATATATTATTTAAACACAAACTTTTATTTATTTTGGATGCGAATAATCACAATTAATCTTTGAACAGTCCTAATAATTATACTTATTATAATTGCAATGCAAAATATTATTACCGTTATATAATTATAATAACAACAACAATAATATTTTCATAATTATTATATTAATTACTATAATAAATTATGTTTTATTTAACCCTGATAGGCAAGAAGGAGGACAGAAAATGATGGCAAAAGAGAATAGGAAGACGAATAAGAAAATGAAACGAGCCGGACACAAAATCTCAACCAGAACAGCAGCACAGTTTTTGCTTCAAAACTCCCTGACAGTCCCATGAGCTGCTGACAGGGAGTTTTGAAGCAAAAGTTAGAGCCATTGTCCTGAAATTTGACTGTCAAAAATTTGCTCCCAAATAAGATATGTCTTTAGTGTACATCACAACTCAGGCTATATTTAGATATGGTTCAAGTGTCACCCAATTTCAATTTGTCCTGCCATGTGGCACAGATCGGATATGACCCACGAATGAGTAAGGAGGAAAAAAGTACATGCACAGGCCTCACTCATATGTGGAAATAAACCTGATATGAATCGGATATGTGCATCTGCCATGTAAGCGTACAGATCGGATATTCCCCAGACAATGCGAGTTGTGAATGACATCCACTCAGGTGGACACCAACCAAGATCACATGACTCTTTTTTCAATGGCAGAATAGAGGACGAAGGCTCAACCCCTTGTTTTGCTGACATTTAAAGATGGTGTGCAAAGAAAAAATCCATTTCATCTGCATCCATTGCAAATCATGCCATTTTTATGCTTTTAAACTTTCCCCAGTCTCCACGACTACCTTTAGTAATTTCGCCAAGCGTATAAATGCAGATATCAGATAAGAGTCACTTTTAAAATGAAATGTAGGCAACAAATCAGAATTGAGCAGTGTAAATGCAGCCTCAGTGTTCTTTCCCTGTGCCACTAAATAAAGATACTTGAGCAACAACACCAAAAAGCACTAATTCTTATCAGATGGACAAAACTCTTCAAAGCATAGCAGAGCACATTTGGAAAAACTTGGCTGATAACCTAATAACCCAACCCATTTAACAACAATACAACAAAACAGGTGGAAACCCATAAGATAACTATTGTGTGAGTACAGTTTTAAATGAGCATGGGTGTAGAGCTAAACGTTGCGTGCAAGAAGCCACCTAGATACGTGGCTTTTAGTCAGGTAAACACTATGCTTGCTCCGCAATAAAAAACACAAAAGCATTATGGGTAAACATATGGGTAAACACAAGGAAGGTACTATTTAATAGGACACTGTGTGTGCAGAGGATCCAAAATAAATTCGATGCTGACTCACTGCACTTAAAAACAGAACTAAACATAGCACAGATCTTAATGCAACCACAAAATGATAATGACATCAGCGATGCAAAATCATTTTTCTTTTAAATGCTATGACGATTCAAATTGTCTACGGTAGGTTTAGCTGATGTCATTGTCATAGACAATGCCAACACCCCCAAAAACACACACACATGACTCATGAGTCCAGTCCAGTCAAATGATGAGCTCACATTGTCATCTCAATACCATGATGGACAATCTAACTTTCACACATGGGTCCATCACATAACAATGTCTATGCGCATCCAGTAGCACACTCCAAATCTGACAACTCCCAGAAACCATAGCACGTTTGCAGGTGTTAAGAGAATGTGGCAAAGAAAGCAAGATGGGTTAGGTACAAACTACGCAACGGTTGGTCCTCTCCAACCTGTTTTAGCCTCCGAGCCACTGCCCTCTCCCAATACAATCCTTTTGAAGAAGCATATTTGGTGGAGTCACACATTGAATCTGTAGACACACCCTTAGAGCATAACAACAGTTGATTTGTAAATAGTAAGTAAACTACAAGCATTGATATTTCTTACATCCCAATAACTCCCCCAACCGGACTTTTGAACAGGAAAAACCTTCTGTTTTTAGGTCTTTTTCAGTTGTTTCCCCATGAAATGATTGTATCCTTTAACAAAACTCACGATTAATGCATGTCTCCACCCATATTACCACAATAATACATTTATATGTACCCTCTGTGATTTCAGGAAGTCAATCCATTGTATGACATATCTGCTTTGTTTCTCAGTCAAAATGACCTGCTATTAGGTAATCACTGCTATGATGACAACATTTCTGTATTTTGACAAAAAAAAAGAGGTAATGGTGATATGTTCGCTTTGTTTTTTTTTTTTTAAGAATAGGCAGGTTTCACTGGTATAATGAGAGGTTCAGCGCTGCTAGCACACAGGGCAGATTGTATTTCAAGACTAACTAGTAAAGTGACTGCAGTCAATTCTGGGACTTAAGAAGTGATAAATATGATGAATTATGCAAGACTTGGGACTGCTAATGACTGAAATGTTAGCTTTTTAAAATGTTACAACTGGCATAACATTATTATGAGGTGACATCCTATTTTGGAAAACATCTTCAGGGCCGATTTACTAAACATGGCAAATTAGCGTTTCAATGTAATTCCAAAAAGACGGAAATGGGAGTGGAAAGTTCTGAGCTTGATCTTCTGACGACATAAAAATTAAAGAATGCGACGCAGCCGGATCATTTCCATAATAACCAACGCAATCTACCAAGAGCTGCTTTTTTGGGTGTTAAATAATGCGCAAATACCTGCAAATTGACTAGTGCAAACCTTAGTAAATCAACTCGCATTATCAATTTAAATACTCTCCACATAAATTTTGCATATGAAAGGGAAACTGCAGCAAATGCATATGAAATAAGGTCAGCCGCCACAAAACTAAGCCAAATTTTTACTGCATTTCTTCAGTAAATCTTGACAGTAGCTCCAAAAGATGGTCTCTGACACAAGCTGTTAGTAAATCTGGCTACAAGTTGCTACCTGTAAGCAGTCAAGTATGTACTAAATGGCCAGTTGCAATGTATAGGCTATACATATTCATGAATGGTATACTACAGCAAAACTGAAGAAAAAATCTACGCAAATGGTTGGTTTAACCTGTTTTTAGATGGTGTAACTGTGTTCTTGCGCCCGGCCATTCGGCTACTTTTTTTTTTGGGGATGACCTGGCAACCCTGACCAGAGTAAACTTGTAAGTCAATGCTAGATTTGATCTGGCTGTCACCTTGAACCAAAATCTGTAACCAATCAGACAGGGTGTAGCACGCTTGTTGTAGGCCTATTATGAAATTCATTATTTATCCAGCAA